AACGGAGTGATTTGTAAAAGGAAGCATGGTGTTATTAGGATCTGCAAAGGTGGAGCAATATGGTGAGGCATGTTGTGTAATATCCTGAAATCTGTGGGGAATTCTCTGCCCCCCAATCTAGCCAGGAAATGGGGTGGTATAAACAGTTAAATGTTACATACAAATCTGCAGTATGAGATAACCCCTGTGAATTCAACGAGATAGAGTATCATGAATATTGTCAGTGAAATACTTCGTTTTATGCTTTTTTGTTTTGTTTCAGTGGTTGATGAATGGGCAACAATGTTTGGCTACTTTTCAGGTAACAGGGAACAAATGGTAGAGACAGTACAGGCCCATTCTCCTGATCTTGGGAGGAGACAGCTCCTTCCCCAGACTTCATGGACGGTTAGTAGAGGGAAATGTGCCCCAGAGATTCCAGATCAAGAGATATTTAGTTCTAAATTTTATGTGAGATGCTGCCATTTAAAATGTGCTGTTTTCACCCAATTTGGACATATCGCCACTATCATCATCATCACCATTAACATCACTATAACCAGCACCCCCACTATTACCACCATCACCCTCTTCAGCAGCAGCAGCTCTCAACTGGATTTGGTCCATGAGGCTGCAGTTGGTTCTGCTGGCCAATAGAATCCATCAGGTGGTAACTGGTCTCTAACTATTCCCTTCTCCCAACCACTACCCAAGACTTGTGTTTAAGTCCCCCTTTTTTCTCTTACATGGCTTTATTTATTTTTTTTTAAGATTTATTTATTTATTTATCTATTTATCTATTTATTTATTTATTTATACATGCACTGGGTACAGTCAGAAGCGCGGGAGGGTGAGAGAATTCACCAGAGCCAGAGCGGGGAGCAGAGCAGGCAGAAGGACCGAAGTACACTGCTGAGGGGAGCAGCGGGCGGCAGGAGGGGTCTGCGCGCCATGCGGGACCCTCCATGCGGGACCCTCCTCCAGTGGCCGGGGAGCAACTGGGGATCAAACCAGCGCTGCAGAGGCCGCGGGCAGCTTTGCAACCCAGCGCTCAACCGCTGCGCCACCGGGGAGGCCCTACATGGCTTTAAACTATGGGGGGATGCCATTCAAAATTCTAGTGGTGGACAGAGTCGTCCTCAGGTGAGCTCTGACGATCTGGGGAAGATACTACTATATCTGACAGCAGGAGAAGAAACACTTTAATCTAGAAAAGGAGAAGAGAAGCTTATAACTAAGAAGGGGGTATCAGCAGGGAAGGTGGAGGAAGATGGGGGAGAGATGAGGTTGAATAATCAAAAGCTGGCTAAGAAAACAGGCACCCCTTGATGGAAATCCCTAACATGGGGAGGATCGACAGATGCCACCAGGCAGTGGAGGGAAGGGCACGAAGCAAGTGGCAATGCACAATGGGACAAGAAAGGGGGGCATATTTGCCATTGGACTGTAGTCTGACTTCCAGAGGTTTGGATAAGAGAGGTTCTAAATGAGGGGTCAACCAGCCTTTTAGCCACACTGGCCCATTGATCCTTGAACTAAGAATGAGTTTTACACTTTCAAATGATTGGGAAAAAAAAAACAACAACAGCAACAAAAACTCAGAAGATTAGGTGGCAGGTGAAAATTACAGGAAATTCAGGTTTCAGTGTTGCCTGCTGTAAATGCTTTCATGTGGCAGCATCGGAGTTCTGAGTAGTTGCAACTGGAAGCCTAAAGCCCACAGCACCTAAAATATTCATCACCTGCCCGTTGACAGAAAAAGTTTGCCACCCCCTGTGTCTCCCAGCCAATTCATACTGATGTGGTTGTCTTTGCAGGCCTATCTATGTATTTCTGCCTTTGCCAGAACTTTCTCCACTGTTCCTTTACCTTAATCTTTTATTCTACATTTATGCTACATACCCTGCATTTTCTAAGTTCTCGCAATATACCATGAACTGAATTCTGTGCACTGGACATTGGGTAGCTAACCAGATACCATGAGCCATGCACACCTGGAGCTGGGTGCAGAGAGGCACAGTATGGCCCCAAGGAGAGTAAAGGACCTTAACACCAGGCACTTCCCATTTGAGAAAACAGGACCCATATTAGGTTTTGCTATTTTGATAGTTATTTCCTCTTATTTTGTATTAGCTCATAAAGTAATTGGAGCTGGATTTGGAATTAGGATGCTTTCAATTCATATAATTTCACACACTTAATTACTATAATCATAAGTGTCAATATTATATCATCTAACAGAAAACTCAGAAACAATATGAGTAGCAATAGTTAGAATTAGAGGTGGTAGGGTAGGAAGAAAAACACACATATATGCAAACCTTGGAAATCAACTAACTAGGTGAACAAAGCTGGTACTGAGCTTCCTGGTAGTCAAAGCGAAAAGGGTAACAAGACAGCTTTTATTTTCAGAGAGGGGGAGAAAAGATATTCATTCAGGAGCAACCAAAATTGTGTATAACAGAGTTCTTAAGAAGAAAAGAGGAAACAGCTTCTTTCAGAGGATATAACTAAATCTCCACATACCTCAGATGCAATAAATTTCTCCTTTCTCTCTGAATGAAATCATCAGATTCTTTCATAAAAATGATGTGCATTTATATATTCATAAATATATAATATCATGAATATGTATGTGTATTCATAAATGTACTATATATACTATCATGAATATGTATATGTATCCATAAATATAATGATCCTTTGTATTGACGTAACTCAGCGGTTTCCAGAATACTCCCACGGTTTCACTCATGGGGAAGGTTTCGGTGGAGAGTGAGTTAGATGTTGTTTCCTCTGTACTGTTTTCAGGAGCTAAGACTCTGAGATGTGTGGATTTCTGACCTTCTTGTTACGGAGTTAAATTCCCTGCCTCCTGGTGCAGGAGTCTTTCTCTGAAGGGAATTTGCTCTGACCCAGGCCTCACCAAGTAAGGGCTCGCTCTCACCCAAGGAAGCTGTCTCATGGCGAGGCTGCTGTTCTCACTGGTTACTTCTCAGAAGCCAGCGTTGGAAATCATAGCCCAAAGCTAAAGTTAGAAACATATCATGCTGGTAAGTAGCAGGGGTCAGCTCGCAGCTGTTCCTGGAGCTTTCTGGTTGGAACGACAGGCCACTTTGATATGTGAGAATCAATTACCGAGAAACCTTGTCAAGATGGCCAAAATTCAGCCTTAAATAATTGAATTCTCTGCCAAACGCTGTCCGCTATCGTTATCTAGAAATGTAATTATGCAGCTAAATCAAGCAACTAAAATTAGTGTAGTGTAAAAACACCTTGGCCATCTGAAAGTGGAGGGATCGACATTTGGATTTAGAAAAAGCCAATAGTTGAATATGTTTTGCGGTGTCAGAAACTCTCCCGGTTTCGACAGAATCTTTACCCTGGTCCTGCTAAGAGGAGGAGGTGGGGCCTGGACCCAGGGGCTTGGCATGAGGGTGTCAGATGAGGGACTCTGCCTCATCACTCTCAGAATCCTGCACCTCTGGGCACTGCCAAGCCCCTGCTCTCCTGGGGTGCAGGGTGGAAGGGGTCATTTGAATGTTATCTGTGCCTCCCTTTGAAAGCCAGAGCATCTGCTCCACCACCGGGAGAACAGCACCCGTGTGATAAGAAGAGTGAAGTGTCTCTTGTGTCTGACACATCATGTTTGTCGCCAAGGATGTCCGTTGTCACACATCCCAAGAGGCAGGATCTGTTATTCTCTCAGATCATGAAGAAACTGAGGTTCAGAGACACTAAGTAGCTTGTTCAAACTCACAGTTAGGACATGGGGCACCCGAGTCAGTGTAATTCCTATTCACGTGACCCCAGGGAACCTGACCTATTACCAGTCACATAGCAGTCACTGGGGATTTTTAAATGCCAGAAAGATTTCAAACACTGACTCAAATGCATCCCTCATCTACACCTTCCGGGCAGTTTAGCTATGTCTTTAAACTCCGGGCTGGGGGAGGCACCCCTTATTAATATATACCCTATTAACACGGAGCAAAGACGAGCTCAAAGACAAGAATGCCTTTTAGAAACACCCAAAATGACACACGTGAAGTTCTGCTCCGGAAGAAACACAGCAAGGCTGGGTGCGGGCAGCCTGCTTAGGACGTGTCTGCAGCCTGCACTGCCTCTCACAAGCCTAGGACTCCCTAGGACTCCCAGCCAGCTTACAACTAGCCGAACCTCGCTCCTCATGTGTTCCAGAAAGCTGATATTATTTCCTTCTCGGGAGAGTGCGGAGAATGTAATGACGTAACGTGTAAATAATTTAGCTCTGCCTTCTCTGCGCATAGCTCACAGTGCAAATATTAACTGGTAGTATCACTCTATTCTTTGCCCAGATTGCCCCATTGTAATGAAAATGAGAGAGAGAGAGATTGAGAGAGAGAGAGAGAGAGAGAGAGAGAGAGAGAGATTAGATTATCTTTAGTTTCCTTTTGAGCACTACAAAAGACGGCCCACATTAACCTACCTGAGCTTTAACTAATCATCTTATCAATTGCTATTTCTCAGCTTTTTCTCTCTCAGAATTCCAGGCCGACTTTGTTCCTGCCTTTTACCCAGATCCTTTAAGAGCTCAAGTTTCATAGCCTCTCTCCCTCTGTCTCCCTCCACCCCCCACGGCCCCCCTCCTCCTCCCTCTGTCACCTCTCCTCTCTCCTAGTGCTTTTTTCTCTCTCTCTCTTCACCCCCTTTTCATCCACCCCTTCCCCCCTCCCTCGCCCCACCCCTACCCCCCAGAACTAAATTAATGAAGAGTATTTGGTCAGTCGTGTTAGGCAAGCAGTTCCCGAAATAGCACCTTCCATTTTGGTAGCTCCAACTTTGCAGCTGCTCTGTCTCTTTCGTCTGGGAAGAAAACTTTCACATTAAGAGTTGCTGATACGCATTTTCTTCCTTTCCCCACTTGGAGCTGATGAGCGCTGGGCTCCTGACAGCAGCGATTTGGCTCTCAGCTTCAGAGTTGGGAAGAAGTTGGGTCTGTGGGTTTGCCCCTAATTCACCGTTGATGTGCTGAGCTGCAGGGGAAGCCCGCCTCCACCCAGAGCATGCTGTCTTCTCAAGGGGTCCTCCTGCATTCCTACGGCGTGCCCATGATCCTGCCCGCAGCCCCCTACTTCCCCGGACTGATCCAGGTAACTCAAGTCTCTGCCAGCCAGCAACTTAACTCCACAGCGCTCAGAGTAATAATTGGAATTTTTATGGTTGAGAAAGCAAACACTTTTAATACAGGAAAAAGCCCTCGTGCCGTTCGTGGGAAGACAGTAGGAAATCAAAAAGATGGAGCACCCTATCTGGCTATTGACATCTCTCATGGCTGAATAAATGGTGTAGTTGAGTTATATTTGCTTGTATTGATCGGAACGCTGTTTAACATTCATGCCGTTGCTTCAGGAGGTTGACCACGGGCAAAGGATTTGCTCTCCTTCCCAGCTTTCTGAGGGACTCGGTCTCCCGGAGCAGATCATGAGGCGAAGTAACTTATCACGAGGTGACGTGGTTGAGAGCTTTAACCCAGGAAATAGAAGGAGCATGAAATGAGCATTCATGCTCACGTTCTCCTTTACCTGGGTTGTCTGTTTTCATAGAAGGTCCCCCCTCCACCTGGTCGAGTGTTGCCACCCAGCAAGCAGGAGCCTGCTGTGGATGGTTCATTGGTGAAGTTCAGAGATCGTTCTGGAAGCCCCCACCAGCGGTTTACATCTTGATGATGGCCAGAAAGGGGAGGGTTGGAAGTGACTTGGTTTCACTTCTCAGGCTATTCGTTCTGGGCAGGGAAGATCATCGTTGAATAAGGTGATCAGGACCTTTGACCCCTGATTCCGTTGGTCTTTTTATTTACTTGGCTTCTGGATGTCTCTGTGGAAAGCTGACATCCACTAGTGATAGGATTTCAATGTCATGGGAAACCCAGATATTTTGTTATTTGTTGTTTGCTTTTAGTTTGTTTGTTGGGGAATCACCATCCCAGTGGGGATAAATTCCGTATCTGGTTTCTCCAAGAAAGGAAAGACTAAATGCACCTTCCAGCCTCTCCTCACTTCTGCATTCTTGTGCCCCCTCCCCGATAGGTTAACGTTTGTTCTATAAGCCCAGAGCTTATGCATGAAAACATCTGGGGAGGGCCAAACACCTTCCTCCTCTTCTGAATGCTATGGCTACTTTTTGTCAACTGTGAGAAGCTGGGCCATAGGGGCCATTCAGGGGCGATTCCAAATAATAATAAAACATTCTGTCATCCTGGATTTATGGCCACCTCTCAGGCTGCAGGCTTCTTCTGTACTATACGTGAGAAGTAAATGGACTGGTGGGGGAACAGCCCCTGACAACATGGAAATTGTCCTGGCGTTCCTGGCGTCAGCAGGCCATATGGTGCGCGTGGAATTGCAGTAGGACTTGATGGCAAATGGGGAGGTGACAGGCCTTTTGCTTCTGTTGGAAACTTGGGGTGAAGGTCAGCCGATGGAGTTTTGTCAGACCCTCTGCCGCCCCATCCGATAAATAATTACAAGCAAATCGTGCCCTTCACTCTATGCTGATTGATGCTGAAATTGCTTTTGAAAGTTCTCATAAGTTCCTGTTATAGATTAAGTGCCGGTCTAGGAAAAATAACGGCCCCCACTGAATGGGTGAATGTAATCAGGCTTAATGGACTCGAGAGCTTGTTGGGAATTAAATAACTATCGATTTGCTGGAATGTTGCTGTCATTACGAAATGCCACTCTGGACGTATTACCCCAGTGATAGATGAGAAGACACACGGGCCAGCTGAGAAATTGGGGAGGCCCTATTTCTTCCTCCTTTCGCTGAGCATTCAAGAAATACATCCAGTTATTTTCGGAAGGAATGAGTGATTTTACTTGCAAATGTTAGTCTGATCATACTTTGTTTTCCCAAGTGACACCTCTGGTAACTAGTTACCCATCAGTTAGGAAATCAGTGCAGCGGGAGCCGTAGACCAGCTGCTGTGACAGACTTCATCTTCTCCCCCACCCCCATGGAACACACTGGAATGCTGTGGACAGGGAGAGCTGGGCTTTATTTCTGGTTTGCTGAGACATGTTATTTATCCTTTAGCATCAAGAAACTCAAATCACCCCATTGCAGCAATATTTGCAAGGAGAGGAAAGGTAACTCACACACACACACACACACACACACACACACACACCCCTTTCAGCTGGCGCTGACACCAGCCACTCTTCACCCCAACAGACTACATCAGCTGACTTACCAGGTCCTTGACCTTGTGGGTTTCTTTCCAGCTCTTCAAGATGCAGGATCTTTCCTGTAGCAAATGAAGGTGCCAGCACCACCTTAATAATGTCATCAGAAAGACATTAAAGTGATCCAAGGTAGAGTCTGTGCTCCATCCTCAGTGGCAAGCTCCCTGGCACTGGAGACTCCCAGCCAGAACTATGGTGGCCAGTTGGCAGGATTATTTTGCCAGAGTTTGAGATTCTTCTCAAGGTCTGTCAACCCTAAGAGATAGCTAGAAGTGGGAGAAGAATCCCCTTGTCCTAATTCTTTCCTGTGCCACTTTTTCATTCAGGCCAGCCTGGCTCTGTTTCGGCTGCTCAATTAAAGAAAAAATAAATAACTGATTGGACCTAACAGGAGGCTTCAGAAGAGCATCACCTCATTTTATATAGACAGCAAAGGGTGGAACTTCCTAAGAGACCGAGGGGAGTAACTGACCAGGCCTTTTGCTCAGAGTAGATTCAGTAGCTGTCACCCCCCCCCCACCCGTTCAGCAAAGTGAGAATTTCCCCCGTATTGGATTCCCTGAGTCCCTTATCTGATGTTTTTGCTGGTTGAATAGCAAGGTGGGTAGTTTTTCCTTCCAGTCATGTAAAGATCCAGAATGGCTATCGCGGGTTGAAAAGAGCCAGTTTGGGCTGTTTGATGGGTCCTGAGAAGCAAGAGAGGGGAAGAAAACAGCAATAGTACCCAGTGCATTACCCCTAGGCTGTTGGAGTTGACCTCCATCTTGATATGTTTGAATCAGAGGAATCACTGCATCTTCCTATTGAAACTTTTCATGTACTTTTAAATTTTCAGTGATACCTGAGAGATTCAATGACTTATCTGGCTTGAGATCAGAGCAGGCTGGTCTGACAAGTCACTTGTCTGAGTCAGTCTTGAGTTCATTTGCTGCCTGAGATCGTCCCCTGACCATCGGCCATGGCTCACGATGGCCAATGGCGTAAATCAATGTCTTTGCCACTGATTAGTCTGTTGGGTAAGTGTTGGGACTGATGGGTTGTACCCCTCATTCTGGATATCTGCCGGATAGACATACCCTTTGGCTGTTCTTTGCATCGGGACTAATGATCCCCAGCTCATCTAGGCATCAAAGGTAACAGGCCAGGAGACCATATTCCTGGAGGATGGTGTCAGCAGAGCCACACCCACCTCACCTCCCATGCATGTGTTAGTTGTGCACTTACTGCACATGTATTCTCAATGAGACCCAGGCTAGACACCCAGAAAACAAAAGTGCCCTGTGGGTCCACAGCCTGGCAGTAGGAGCAGCAGAGAGACACAGAATTGTGTAAGACTGCAGTGGAGTCAGCAGGCACGAGGGGCAGCGGGCACTGTCGAGAGCTTGCAATGCGCCGTCCCGAAGCCTCAGCATCTCACTTTATTCTCCCGATAACCTAAACCTGGGAACCATAAGTCCACCATCCCTCATCTATAATTTTGAATTCCAAAAAGCCCTGAAAGTCCATTTTGGGAATAAGTTTAACAAAATAAATTTGGGAAGAAAGTTTGACCTAAAATGTGGTGTGGCTATTTATGGACTTTCTTTATCCCACTTGGTATGAATATTCATATATTTTGCTGTGGGAATATTTATGTGTTTGATTTTAGAGTGTTGTCCCAGACCCCGCTGAGGGTGTTACATAAACTGGAGCTTCTACTGGACGACCTTTTCGGAAAAAGAATATATGAAAAAAATAACCCTCAGCATCACAGTGCAGGTGACCCCTGGGGTCTCAGACGAGGAATCACACTCATGCTTTATGATAACACTTGGCACAGGGAGCGACTGCATTTAACTCAGGGAAAGGTGACTTGCCCAAGGTCATGAGGAATGTCGGTGACAGAGTTGAGGCCTGAACCATGTCTGTTGCCCAGATGCTTCCCTCTTAACCTCCCATCTACTGATATGATGAGCCCCTGCAGAGTGTCCCAAGAAGCAAGGGACATTGGAGCTGAGCTGGAAGGGTCAGCAGGCACCGCTGGGCCATCAGAGGAGATGCCTTCCTTGCACAGCACAGAATCCAGGCGACCTCATGTGCTGGATGGACACACCAAGCTGGAGCTCCCTCAACCCACTGGCACTGCTGCTCACACCAGATCTCAGAAGCCCAAGCCCATACGACAGTGGGGCTGGGAGGCATCTCAGAAATGGAACCCCTGTACCCCATGTGTCCTGGAAAGGCACAGGCTGCTGGTAGCCTTGTGTGACCCCCGCAGGCATGGAGTGGAATTCTGCTCCCCTTTGCCACACTTTCTCCCCGAGTCACTAAGCGATCCAAAGGCTGTTTCCCAACTTAAATTTCACAGAGGAGCTAGTGGGGGATGCTGGCCAGTACCCTCTGATGTGAGAGCGACTATGCAAGCCACCCCCACTCTGCAAATTTTGAGGCTGAAATCGGCATTACTGAATTTGGGGATATATTTTGTGAGATTTTGGGGATATATTTTGTGTTCACACACATGGGGTGACTGGGAACGGCTAATGTGTTGGTATTAACAGTGGGCCGGGAGTAACTATCCCTATGGAAAGGTAGAGAAACAGAATGAGGACTCGCGGGTCATTTGGATGTGTTTCTGGATGAACAGGAAATAAATAGACTTGCTTTGCCCCGTGGAGGGTGGATTTGCTTCCACACCCTCACCTGGCTGCCTGCAGCGTGTCTGATGTGTGGGGGACCCGCTGATGGGGAGAGCAGTCAGAGCGTACACCTGCTCTAGATGCCGGTAGTGTCATTTACTCCGGGGCTGCTCCATCTTAGTCACTAAGTGACTTTTCTGTGCTGCCAAAGAGGCCATGTCAACAGCCGACTAAATTAAAGAGTCAGGGAGGTGGCAAAGAGAATTTGGAGTCAAACAAGGCCAGGTTGATATATTGGCTGTGGCATTTACTAAGCGTGTGGCCTTGGGCTTGTCAATTAACCTCTCCAAGGCTGTTTTCTCAGCGCAAATGAAAGCAGGAATACCTATCTCGCAAGATGCTTGGGAGCTTTCAGTGTGATTCATCTCTCCCCTTAGCTGTGATTTCTTAAGCACCTACTGTATGCCATGCTGTGAACCTGGGGCAGGTGGTATTGCACACGAGATCCTTTCCACGTGAGCCTTCCCGCCTCATAGATGGGAGAAGTCTGGCTTTTCTGTGTACACCAACCAGATATTTACTTGGTGGCATGCTGGAGAGAGAGGACTCCTATCTGCTAGTGGCAAACTCTAACCTGGGCTGGTTTGAGAGGATAAAAAGGAAAACGTGGTGCTTTAGATGCAGTTGAATTCAGAGGTTTCAACGACCAGGTCCTGTCTCCCCACCTCTCTTGAGTGCCCTCTTCCCTTGATCTTCACTCGCCATGTCCACTTGGTGGCCAAGGAGGTCCTTAGAAATTCCAGGTTCACCTCCCAACTTGACTTAGCAAATGTCTTTCCCAACCGCTCCTGCAGAAATTCCAGA